CTGTTGACCGATGCACCTGGTCTTGTTTCTCTAAATTGGGTAGATTAGGATCCTCTGCATGAAGACGACATTTGATTGATCAGCTGCCAGTTAGGAAAACTCTCATGGATTGGAACGACTATTGTTTATGGGACGCTGGACCCGATTTCCAGCAGGTGTTTCTCCCCACCAATGGATGGAGCCTTCCCGCGGGAGCTAAAGGCGTCTGCTCATACCAGTGCCCCTAGCGGAAATCGGGTCCAGTGTCAGTGTGAGCGGACACCTTGTCTTCCCACACGGGCAGCTTTCCTCAAAAAGAAAAAAGATTTCCAAGCAGCTTTCGAATGACTTGACCCCTTTGAATTTTCAATTGATCAGCAAGAATGTAAGGTGCTGGATGGATTGCTTTAACTGATTTAACTTCTTGTTTGCACAGGAAGCAGGCAAAGAGCTATTAGAACTGCTACAATGGATGGGAGATCTGGGGATGGAGCAGGAGGTTGGCTTGCTCAAGGATAATAAAGATGAAGGGGAGGGGAATGATGAGCTGGAATATGCAAGCCAGGTGGCGTGTCGACAAGGCGCTAGCCATGCCCTTTCCAAGGTTGTATCAGAGTATGTGGATTCCTCCCATCGCGAGTGTCAGGATATCATCGATTCTGCCACAGCAGATCACGGGACCGATCACGAAGATGGGCCCGACGAACGGGCCCGACGACAGGCAGAGAACGATCGAGAGATGGGTCCCTTTCAACACTTGGACGAGGAGTGTCGAGTAGAGGAAGAGCGGTTGAAGATGTATGAGCAGGATGAGGATGAGATTGAGGATGAAGAGTTTTGGAAGGAGGTGGAGGAGTTGGAAAGAATGGGCATCCACAAAATGGAGAAAGCGGAAACACGGGTTAATGCAAGTGAGAGAACAGCAGAAACTGCAGCTGTCAGAATGTCTACTGGGGATTCTCGGACGCAGCAGGCAATGAAAGCCTGTGTGATTCCACAGGTAGATGGTGCAGCAGATGTTGACTTTGGAGATAGCTCTAGTGAATCAGAAAGTTTTGAAGCAGGGTTGATGCGGCGTGGGAATTTGCCATTGGCTCAGGTCGACGCAGAAAGGCATGGACACCACGATGTGGCAAACGGTGTGGACGATAGTGGAAATCCAAAGCTGTCGTTTGTCAAAGACGAGACGGAGCGCGCAGCGGCACGGGAGAAAGATCATGCTGCTTCGGGAAGTCTAAAGTTGGCGTCTGCTGAAGACAGGACAGAGGACGCAATGACATGGGTGCAAGACAGTGCTCCATCGGGCCTGCATGATCTTGTGAATAACAATACGGTAAAAGGGGGCCAACGTTTTGCGGGCGTGAGTGAAAGAGTTTCGACGAGGGACAGAGTTGAACTGGGTGGGCTTATCCCCCAGCAGCAAACAGGGGATGAACGGGAAGCAGTGCGAAGTAATGACCGAAAACATCAGAGATTGCAGCCTACAGTGATGGAGGATTGCAGTTCCCCTAAGAAAAAGCCCGTTAGTCCTGCCCCGAGTGTCAGCAAAGGTTTGAAGGAATCAGATACCGGATATCGGGAGGGGGTTGTATTTGCACTTGCTGCTCAAGGAACGGGGGTTGGGTTCGGCAAGGCGACAGAAATGAAGAAGGGAAGAGGGAAAGGCGTGGACACCAAGAAGGCAAGTGAATGGAAGAGGGAGAGCAAGCAGTTATCTCTGCGGGACTTGATGAGAAAACAGAGGGAGAGAGTTCCAAGGAGTAGGGTATCAGAAAGTCAGGCAGATGGCCAAAACGTTTCAGGGCGCGTGGGCATGGGAGCTTGGCAGCATCAGAGTGAGAGTGCCACCGACTCGTCTCCCCAAGATGTGATGTCCCCGAGCACTAGTGGCCGCGTCACAGGTGATGACTGCTTCCACAGGGATCATTGTTGTCACACAGGAAATTTTGGTTTTCCACAAGGAGCGGGCAGAGTCGGCGGTGGCGATGCCAGCAAAACTATGGAGGGTTCAGAGAAAAGGAGTCGTTATGGCTTGTTGCCACTGGAAGTAGGCAGAGGGGAGGGATTGAAGAATTTATTTGGTGCAGATGGTGGGGTCGGTCCAACCAACAAGGGAAACAGTGAACACTGCATAGACAGCCATAATCGCAAAGGAAAAAGGGTGGAGGATAATCCGGTTGCTGTGAGAAAAGGCAGTATATTTTTCCGCAGTGTGCATGATGGAGGTGGGAAACCTGCAGAAGAAGAAAAACATAACAAAGGTGGGCAGTCTAGCAAGACTGGCAAATGGGAGGACATCGGAAACGATGATGCGAATCTCAGAGGTGAGCAGTATGCGGCCAAGAGGCCATACCCGGCAAAAAGGCTTTGTCGACTTACGGGTGCACCTGCAAGTGCACGGCAGTTCACCGCTGCTGAGAACAGCATGGAGAAGGGGCAGGACTCAGCTCCTCACACCTTTTATGGTGAGGGAAGGGATAAGAATAGAGGAGAGGAAACATTACACGGCATTGGAAAAGGAAAGGATTGCAAACGGAAAGCGGAAAGGTGGAGTTTTCCGGTTGGTTGTGACCAACCCGCGGTGCAAGGACCATTGATCGAAGTGAGAGATGAGGGAAGGGCAGCTTTTGTTGCTGCTCGGCGAACAAGTTTTCACCAAAAGAGTAGCCAGGAACAAAAGCAGATGGACGCCAATGTTCCATCTTTCCAGCGAGACGACCTTACTGAAACGAAGGATCGACTCTCTCATTCCAAGAGAAGGATCGGAGAACTCTTCAAAGCTAGTGACAAAGGTAGGGTTGAGGTGCCGGATGTTTTACAGGCGTTGAATCAACCGAATGCACCAGAGGCTGATTGCTGCATGGAGGAAAACAGTGTTCAGCAAGGGTCTGCTGAGAAGGAAGGGAAGGCCAGGGGCTCTGCCATAGAGTTGAAGGCATGTTCAGGACTACATGGCCTTGCTCCAGTTGATGACAAGAGCAGAGCAGTCGATTCTGCCTTTTTCTCAACAGCGACTGAGGCGGAGGTACGGGTAAGTGCAGGTGCCAGAACTGGCTGTACGGATTGGCAAGACGATGCACAATGGAAGTCAACGAATCAACACCCATTGGCGGATGACATGAGGGGTCACATTGTGGAATCAGGAAGGCACGGCAGAGATGGGGGCAGAACAGGTAGCGCTGACATGGCTTACGGACATGAAACTGCTGGTTTCGTCGGTGCTGGTAGATCGGAAGCCACCGAAGCGATAGAATCTCATAGCATCCTGTCAACGACCACAGTCAGAAGCGGTGCAGCCTGCCAGCAATTGAAAACCGGGCACAATGATTGTCATGTATCAAAGATTGGTGATAATGCCGAAGCAGCGCCTCCTGTCCAAAGGACAGCGTCCGACCGTGGTAACAGATCCGAACCTGGTTACAGAACTGGAAGGGTTCCTACCCTGGCAGAGGAGATCGATCTCGTAACGCGTAGAGAATCTGAATCTGGTTACAGAACTGGAAGGGCTCGAACCCTGTTAGCGGAGATGGACCTGGCAACAGGCAGAGAATCTGAATCTGGTAACAGAACTGGAAGGGTTTTAGATGCGGTAGCAGATCCGAACCTAGTAACGGACAGGGTATGCAAACCCGAGCTCTTGCCGAGGAAGAAGTGTACTGAAGGCAACATAGAACTCGAACGAGTTGAAATGGGGCTGCGTCCGACTGGAAGGAAGGGATGGGAACCGGCCAGTCATGGATACTTCATGGCTACAAATATCGCAGGACGTGTTGTAGAAAAAGTGCGATCTGGTCGAGATGATAGAGACGATAAAATGGTAGTACACATTGGAGAAGGGAAGGTCGTCGGTGATGAAGAGAGCGAGGAAGGTTATGCATCATTAAAGGTTGGTGAAAAGCAGATTCCGTCCAGGATGCAGGATCAATGCCTCCCGACAGCGGGAAACGATTCCGTGTACTCGAAGGCAGGAAATCTTGGGAGGTGTTTTGAGGAGTGCACAGCAGGTGGAAGAGATGATGACAGCCATGGTCGCGAAGAATGTGTTATAAAAGAAGGGGAGGATGAAAAAGATGATGAGGGGCGTAATGACATGCACAAGAATGAAGCTTGTGATCTAGAAGAGGAGGACGAGAACGAAAAAGATCCAGAGAGGTACGACCTGATACGGTTTCTCTTGCAAAAGTCAATGTGCGGATGGGATGACGATGGCCAGAGTGGCGAGGAGCACAATCTGGAGATCAACAACGATGATCTTCCACATGCAGACAACAAACCGCAAGGTGGTCGTATTCACGTAACTACTTCCAAACTAACATCAGATGCTACCAAATCTGCAGATGGCATGGGGATGGATCACGTACTGACATCAAAAGATGAGAGAAGGGAAAGTGATAGTGACGGCCAACCGGTAATATCAAATGTAGCGTCTGTGAGAACACAGAGAAGATGCAGTCCAATGCGAAATATTTTTGACGAGGAGGCAATGCGGCCTTCTCTGGAGGTGGGAGACGCTGTTGGCCCCGATGGGATGGGAGGTAGTGGTGAATTTGTAAACGGAAAACGAAATGCGCCTTGTCAGGAGACACCGTTCTTGTCAAAAGGGGATAGCACTGCGGCACCAATGATTCCGGCTGATAAGGTGGGACGCAACAGCGAGCGTGAGAAAGAGAAGCCTTCTTCTTCAGATGAGACTCATGGGAGAGGAGTGAGGAGTTGCGTACATTGGCAAACTCCAACTCCTGTGCTGAAACCTTCTCTGGGAACTGAGGAGAAATCACATGCGGTTCTGGGTTCAACTTTAGTCCAGGGGAGATGCCTGCGCCAGAGGGCGGAAAGAATGGTGGAGTCTGGGGCTGTGAAACGAGTGTTGTTTGAGGAGGAGGAGGAGGAGGAGGAGGAGGAGGACGGCAAAAGGAGCCCGGAAGCTTTGCTGGAGTGTGAAGGTGAACGCATCCGAAAACCGATCACAAGGCCCGTGGACCAGGGTATTGTTGATGGACATTATTCAGGGGAGGAGATTGGGACCGGGAAGGCAAAGGATCTTCTTGTAAGAAAGACTCACGAAAGCGAGGACGAGCGTCTGAAAAATGTACAATCCCTTGGCAGATGGGGTAATGACGATATTGGCAAGACGCAAAGGGCGATGGACCAGAGTACTGGTGATGGACATTATACAGCCGAGGAGGTTGGAACAGGAAAGCCAAATGAACTTGTAGTGAAGGACCACGAAAGCGAGGAGCTCGTGAAAGATGCCCAATCCCTTGGCGGATGGGATAATGATGGTAATATTGGCAAGGCCCAAAGGGCTGTCCCAAGGAGACTGCACGAATCGGAGGAGCAGAAGGCGAATCTGCGAAGATTCCAAGGACAAGGACCCCAGCAAGAAGAAATAGGCAGCTTAGCAAACCAATCCAGAACACTTCAATGTGGTGAATTTTCAAATACCTGTTCTCCAGACGTGCGGAAAGACTTCAAGGTGCTAGAGGGTGTTGAGACGGCTCGCTCAGGATCACAAGAAGCGTCGAGGCGGGAGAAAAGTCAAAATGACAAGAAGAGTGATGCCAAAGGCGTCAGGCAGGTGAAGAACTCCGAGATTGAGAAAGGGAGAGGGGATTGTGAAGGAGAGGTGGACGAAGACGAGCTGAAAGCGGGAGATGTTGAAAGGGTGGGAAGCAGGAACAAGGACATGAGAGACGATGGAGAGTTAAGGAACACCTGCGGAGATGGCCGGTGTACTTCGACAAGCCGTGAAGCTGGAAAAGGAAATACCATAGAGGAGATTCTTGAAAAGAATACAATGTCAGCTGCAGTCCAAGAGGGGGAAGATATTCATGCGGAGAGAGAAAAAGTGCAACGGGAGATCGACTCTCCGTTCAAGAGTTCGGAAAGTAAACATTTGTCGGATCCAGATTTTTATTGCGGAGATCATCGTCACGATGGTGGGATGGCCTGTGAGGTCTTGGGGCGATCGGAGAAAGGAAAAAGCCCACATACTGTTGAGGACAAGGGGAGAGAGTACGGAAGAGAGAAGGAGCTTTATGTGTTTCGATATGCAAAGCTGCCACCGACAAGAATGGAGGTGATTGCAAGTCTGGACAAATACAAACTGAAGGAGGTTGATTATGGTGGGGTGTTCTATGGAGATCCCAAAGATGTTGCCGACCGGCCGACGGTATTTGCTGGTATCGAGTTCAATGGTAAGGCGAATTCGCAGGGGGAAGTATTCGCAAAAGAGAGAGAAAATTTGCTGCAAAATCCTGCTAGCAATACAATTGTCATGAAAACACTCAGAAAACCCAACCATCCCAACATTATGCACTAATGTTGCAGAAAACCCACTTGCCCGGTCCTCCCGCTGTGTAAGGATGCCTATTATCTCTTCCAGTCACTGCCCAACTTCAACAGAAGGAAACAGTATTTTCTTGGAGTCAGTTCAAACTTCTTTGGGTCATGTCAGTTCGGCACGGGGCAAAAAACCGATGAAAAGTACGACATTGAAATTAAACCACCACGGCCTCCGGCGCAGACTTTGGCAAGCCCAGTGGATATTTGCTACCTTCTTCCCCCGAATACAACGTGCGGTCTTTATAGCCGTATGTGAGGCATCTTTCAGTCTAGATACAGCTATAATGACCGTACGTTGTATTCGGGGGAAGAAGGTAGGTCAGAACTGAACCAGCTTCAGGACGCTCGAGAGGTGCGAGGACCCTTTATTTGTCGTTTCATGGGCCCTCCCTCCAACCGATCTCTGATGCTGTCTCTTATACACATCTAGATGTGTATAAGAGACAGGTGTGTGTGTGTGCGCGCGCGCGTGTATGTGTAC